TAGAGAGAATCTTTTATACACATGATACATATCATTAGAGTTAAGTAAATAATAAAAAGAGATTGGGTTTTACTTTCTAATTTGGTAGTTCTACTAAATATCATTACACGTGACGAATTCTTCAGACGTGAAGTTTTCTAATAATTCAATGTATTTTTAAAATATAATCAAAACATATTAAAATATTTTTTTAAATTGTTGCGTTTAAAAATACATTGAATTATTAGAAAATCTCACTTTCTGAAGAATTCGTCACGTGTAATGATATACTCGTAAGAAAAAAACCTTCTAAAAGTCACGTATCACGTATCAGAGTTGTGACATATTTTTCAAAGATAAAATAAGTTTTGAAATTATTGCAAAACTGCTTTTTCTGCTGAACGTATATACTGATAATAAATGATTAGATAATAACTGCGGTAATTTATGATATAAGTTTATATATACATTCAAGATAAGTATAAGAAATGGATAGTATAAGAATAACAATGAATAGATCAGGCCATGTTCAAAAATGTAAGCAGATCTTCAAAATTGTAAACTTTTAAAAATTGAAATTATTATGTAACAATATATATTGCAATGAAAAGTAACTGATATATTATTCAAATTCCCAGTTCAAGGTGAACATACATAAAGCAAATTCTCAAAAATGTAAAGCTATAAAAATTTACACTTTTATCTGATAATATATTATCTAATATACTTATATTACCATGACAAGTAACTTATGTGTTATTAAAAGTGCCATTTCAAAGTAAACATACATCAAGTGTATCCTCAAAATTTGAAACTTTTAACAATTACAATGATTATCTAATAATTACTACGTTAAGTAACTAACATATTATTCAAGGTCCTAGTTAAAAGTGAACATACGTAAAGCGTATTCTCAAAAATGTAAACCTTTAAAAATTTAAATGATTATCTGATAATACTTTACCATCCAAGTTTTGAGATAATATATTACCATGACAAGTAACTGATATATTACCAAAGGTGCCAGTTCAAAGTGAACATACATTTAAAGTGTATCCTGAAAAATGTAAACCTTTAAAAATTTAAATGATTATTTAATGATATATTACCAGGACAAGTAATTCACTTATTTCTGGATGTGCAGAAGAACCTTTGGGCAAACCTGGGGACTTCAGCCGGACAGGGTGCTTTGGCTATACACAGCTGTGCTCCGGCCTAGACTGCTCTATGCTGCTGTGGTATGGTGGCCAAGAACACAGCTGGCTCGAGCAATGCTGGAACGCGTCAGGGCTCTTATTTTAAGAGGGGCTCTGGGAGCAATGAGAACAACGCCGGTGGCAGCAATGGGAGTGCTGCTCGGCATCGAACCACTCCACCTTGCGATAGTGGCGGCAGCAGCGGCCACGGCGTATAGGTTGAAGTGTGAAGGCAAGTGGACGATCGGGGTGGGCCACACCCGGCTACCACGGGATATCCAGATGGAAACCGTGTTGGATATGAGGCAGGATAGGATGCCGAGAAAACGCGACTTTGATAGATCTTTCAAGATCTATCTTCCTAGTCGTGAGGAGTGGGAGAGGCACGAGGTGCTCGTTATCAGGAATGGGGACGTCTGGTACACGGATGGCTCCAAAACTGACGGGGGCGCCGGTGCCGGAGTCTTTGGAAGCCGTGGGGGCTTTAAGGAGGCTCTCTTCCTCGGAGAGTTCACCACGGTCTTTCAAGCAGAGGTGGTGGCAATCATGAGCTGTGCTCAACTGCTGATTGCATCTGGGCAGATGGGC